CCGTGCCATATTATCGGCTACCTGAAAATCCGCAAGCAATGATTCGGCTTCAACAACGATGTCCGGCGAACGCCGCTGGTCAGGATCAACACTAATCAGACTTTCAACGCGAGTTCTCTCGCACTGGTGAACTAGTTTGGCCAAACGTGACAGCAATAATGCAGTCTTTGCTGTGTATCCGGTGAAGCAGTCGATGAAGAAATCGTCGTTTGCGGGAGGGGTGGAGCATGCACTAACAATCGACTGATACAGAAACAGAGGAGGCTCATTGTCTCGGCAGGAGAGAGATCCCATGATATCAATATATTCCAGCCAGCGTGAAAGAAAAGATCCGACTCGATTCCCAGGATATGCCATCTGCACTCCGCGCGCAAGGTAGAGGTCGCGAGCGAGCTTCAGGTGGCTCTGCCACGAAATTGGTACTTCAAATGTGCTTGGCGAAATGATCTTCAAAGATAAGAGCATAATGGCGGCAGCAAGATGATTGTCCGTGATGTTCTGGTCCGGGTCCTCGAGTGCTATGCGCAGTGTTGGGAAGACATTGCTGACCCAGTGTGCTATCCGGTTGGCAGGTTCAGGGTGGTTCAAGTACCTGGCTCGGTGGCTGGCGGAATAGGCTAGCATCAGGTTTAAGATATTTGAATCCCCAATTGCCACTATCTATTGTCAGACATATCACAAATAATGAGATTGCATGCAGCGTACTTGACGGTAAAACGGTGATGAAGGGGTTGTCCCCACAATCATGCGCAACCAGCATTTTGGCTGTATGGTTGAGAAAATGGTGAAAGTACATCAAGTTGATGGGTGTTTCTACCAAGGCCGAAGGCAATGGTGACAGGTACCGAGGAATGTTGATGGAAACCGGGGACGCATAATACCCGCGTCCAACACTATTTGCAAGTCCACGGTCGGCAGATGCTGATTCGAAAGTAGTCCGGGTTTGGCGTTCTGGATTGATCAGGTCCAAAGCGTAATTGATGTCGATAGCCGAATGATCGTCCATTTGGTTCAAATCCAAGTCGGGACGGCCATGATCGAGGCCGTAATTATCAGTCACACTAGTCAAGTAGGCAGACCACTTCTGTTCCGAGGATGAACGCTCGGAGCGCTTGTATATGTCACGCTGACAGATGCCTTCAACATCACGTCGCAAGCTGTACATGTAGTCTTCAGAACCAATGGGACCATTCATGACCTTGGTAAAATAAGTCTCTGTAGAAGCGGAGCCGGACGTTTCCATGGTAGTCTCGATTCGTACTGCACTAGGAGAGTCTATATCGACAACATCTGAATGTGCGAATGAGTATCGGTGGCGCGGAGATGGTACCCCTGCCTGACGGTCGTCACTGGTGTCAAATGGACAATCATTACGCGGTCCACTTGAGACTGAATTTCGCTCCCCTCGGTTCCCCATCGAAGGACGCATGAAGGGATGCGTCTCCATGGCGGATTCTCGTATGAACGAGAGCGGTGATGATAGAATGGAGGATTGCGAGAAGTTTAGGGTAGCAAGAGACCCGATACTCAAGCTTGTATCTGGGTAGGAAACGTCTTCAGAACGGTGAAGTGTCGAGGAGGGCGTGAAGGTCGAAAGCGTCTCCTGTGGCATTGCCATCATTTGCGGCGACGTATCGGGCCGTGACTTGATCGCATCGTTCATTTGTGATAACGTTACTCCTACTGAAGTTCTATCGCTCATATATGGGAAGCTATTGCCCAAATGATCTGAACAACCAGAAGAGGCCAGAATTTCAAGGCCATTCCCAAGCTCCCTAGAGCATGATGTCTTCGCTACCAGAGATGATCCACAAGCGGTAGCCCAAATTGTGTTGTACGGAGTCAACTCCTGTGGACTGTTCTCTCCTTGACCTGATCCAAGGGAATCCACCTGTGCGAAATCCGAAGGCAGCACGGCCAAAGAGAGAAGATGAGCAGAGTGACCACTAGACTGAGAACTTGGGGAGCTAACGGAGGACTTCCGCCGTGTTCTACCCTCCCAGTTCAGCCTGATACTATAGTCACAATTCTCATTCTGACGGCGGCAGTTGAGACAAGACGGCTTCTCTTCGTCACTAAAATCATTGTCAGATAGAGATTCTGATGATGTTGAGCAGAGGCAAAGTAGCAGGAAATAGAAACATACCATTTGACTTTCCGCGTCTTACAAGGCCTAGATACCTGTTCATTAAGCAAGTGACAAAGCAACAAATTGGTGAGACTGAGACTGCTTACCAACAACCCTTCCGGGATCTTCGTTTTGGCTCAGGTGCACCGGGCCTTCTAGGACGAGGCATTGCACTTCAAGTGCGACTTGAGTGATTCGGCTGAGTGCAAAGATCCGACGAAAAATAGCAGTAGCGGCTGGATGAATCGATAACTTGTACTCTGCAAAGTATGGCCGCCATACGGACACGATAGGACCTCAAGACACCTGGAGAATGGCAATCGGTGACTTTTTCCGTCGTGGGGATCTTTTTGTCCAGCTGGATAGGTAGCGATAATCTATAAGACACCCGCGCCTTGTGTTCGTACTCATCGAGCCGTGGAATTTGATAGACGAACTAACGCTGTTTATACCACAGTCAGCCAAGCTTGACAAGGCGTGCAGTGGGTAGCTGAAACACCAGTTGGCGACACTGAGAAGATTGCTGGCAGGAGAGAACAAAGAGAGAGATGAAACTGAAAGACCACAAAAGCGGAGAAGCTGGGCCAGTGGATAATACTGGACGGGTAGATAGAGATGCAGAATCACAGATAAACCCAAAATAATCAATGCCCTTGGCCATTGCTCGTTGGTCACTTCTGTTATCGGCACTTTCAATCAATCGCGTCCCGCTTTCCAACGTGCAAATGTGAAGACGACGATAACCAGAGCTGATAATGGCTGAACTAGACTGTTAACTGCTAAGCTGAACCAGAGAACTGATAACCCAGTCATGTTATTAGCCAGCATCTCCGGGGCAGCAATGGCTAGTGATCAATCCGGTTAGCGTCGGTGCTGGTCGGATGCCTGGGGATAAGGGGTCTGATGACGCATGTCGATCTGGTCAGCATCATTAGCTTCGGTTCTGCTGACTTTCGTGCCGAACAAGTACCGTATCTTGAACCTACCTTAAGATTTGACATCTTCAGTTTATAGAAATCGATCCTGAAACGTAATTTTCTTAATCATGGCCGCCTCCCTGGTTGCGAAACATCCTGTCCAACGGATGTCCAGCCCTTCCCGGGGGTTCTCTGCCTTGGTCCATGTGAGCTTGTGCCCGTTTGGTTGTTGTTCCCTTGGGCGTTTGTTCCATGGCTGACGTTGCTCAAGTTAATCGGTTTAGCCAGCTTTATCGGCTCGTTCAAATTGTGGGTGACCCAGGGTTTTCTTTTTATATCTTCATCATGATGATAGGGATCTGTATCTGGTGTGGTTATTGGACTAACTTAATACCTCAGTATGCACGAGAATCCTAATCGCGCGTAAGCTTTTCCAATGCCATGGGCTCGGAATTCCCGCATATTAATACCTCGAATGCTTCGCAGTAACGAAGCGTATGGTTGGCATTTTCAGTATCTAACCGTTATCGGTCTTGCCTTGTCAACTCTCACTTTTGCCGTCGCGCTGTTGGCGGATCTGACCCTGTCCGCCCGGCTATTCCTCGTTAAGAACCTCCTGTCGATATGTAGCGCTCCGATGGAGGTGCTTATCAGTGTTTTATACTGGAGTCTTCGCATGGTGGGTAGTCAAGCACCCTTATACCCACAGTTCCGCTCCTGACGAAGACTATAAGATCGACGAGCGTTTAGTGGTACCGGACTGGGCTCATATTCCAATGCACGCTGGCAAGTCCTCAAGCTGGTCTCTTGTTCAGATGGAACCTTGAGCTAATATCATATCGTTCTGCAGATATTGGTTTTCACGCCGTACCAGCCATTGTGTTATTGATCGATCTCCTACTTCTTTCCCCTCCATGGACAATCAGTATCGTACCAGCCCTTGGTCTATCAAGCACAATCGCGGTCAGTTACTGGGTTTGGATCGAGCGATGCTACAAGTACAACGGATGGTGCGCTGAATGCTTATCTCAGTCATGAGCAGTCGGTTGCTAACAATGATAGGTACCCGTATCCGATCTTTGAGCAGGTGCCCTTCGGAGGCCGCGTGGGTCTTTTCGTGATGAGCGCCATTGTCATGGCGCTGAGCACTGCAACCCTGCAATGGCTATACGGACGTGTCAATGGCTTCGGGACAGCCTCAATACCCAAGGCTCGTCCCGGTGCTCTGAAACAGAATGGTACTTCGAAGCAAAATGGCGGTCTTTGAAAGCTAAGATGCCGTCTCCGCGTTTTCTTGGCCTCGGTATACGACGGCATGAATAGACGTCAGAGTTCCTCTTTGAATATTTATGTGTATCTGGTTTCTTCTCCTGGGAGCTCTGTAAAGATTGCTCCACCAAAGCGCGCATATACAGATCTCTAGGTAGACGTTTGAATCACTTCGATTATATGATTAGAAGCGGGTCCAATAATATGAATGATCCCCTCCGACAATGGGAGTATCAACTAGTAGTTCTAGAATATAGGTCGTAAAGCTTCCCGATCAAAGACGGCAGCTCATCGCGGAGACGTTCATCACCTAGAGCATATGTGGTACAAGATACGTCGATAAGAATTGAGGAATCAGGCAATGGCCTGGATGCGGTCGCGAGAGAGGTTATATGTGTATTTTGTGAGTGGAACATACGCCGCACGGTCTGTTCTAGCATCCTAGTAATCATGTATTCTCTCGTAAAAACATGGCCGTTTTCTAGTATTTTCTATTCACCTTTTGCAGTAAACATTCTAAGGGTCTGAACCGACGATCCACCAGTGACCTCACTGTCAAAAGGCTAGTTATGTGCACCAGCCTGCTTACATAACCCGGCATAGCTTCTTCCGCCTGTTCGCTGCACCTCTTCAACCATCAAGTAGTGTTCGCGACCATAACACTCCATACATCCACGAATCTCAACATGCACCTCACCTCGATGAACGGCACATTGCGTACGGCCGCCTTTAGTGGCCGATTTGCTCTGGCCTCTCCTTCGTCTTTGCCCGCCGCCACGCCGTTATTTCAATGCTGCCAGAAGATGTCGCTCAGAACACAGGCAAGGCCAGCCAGCACATCAACCACACGCATCCCCTTAAAGCCATCGCCTCGTCCTCAGACAAGCTCCATGTGTCTGTCTCCCATTCTCCGCAATACTGCTTTTCGCCTTAACTCGACCGCCGCAAACGCATCCCGCGCCGAAGCCTCCAAACTCGATTGGAATTCCTTCTTCAAACTCCGCGCATCTCGACGCAGATATACCCTCGCCTCGTCGATAATCGCTTCGATGGCCAGTACAATTATCGGAGTACAGGTCCTTTCCGAACAGGATCTCGAGTCCCTCGGGGCGCAGGTGATGGGCTTGGATCCTTTTGTTGTCCTGGGATTGGCGACCGCTGCCTGCGGTGCGGTGGGTTGGCTCGCGGGTCCCTTTTTGGGCAATGCCATCTGGAGGGTGGTCTATCGCAAATATAAGCCAGCTTTCTTAATGGTGAGTTCTTGGCCATATGTTTTAAGGGACTTTTGTCGGTTTTGTTCGGTGCTAACAGATGGATAGAAAGAGAAGGAGTTCTATAACAGAATCAAGCGGTTCCGTGTCGATCCCTCGTCTAACTCGATTGCCAATCCGGTGCCGGATTACTATGGTGAGAAGATTGGTAGCGTTCAAGGTTACCGGCAGTGGTTGAAGGATCAGAGGGCCTACAACCGCAAGAGACGCAGTTTCATCATCTGATTTTATGAAGCAACCCTAGCATGTCCCTTTCTTCGATATGGCAAATTTACTGGATCCTAGTCTCTCGATGTGCTTCCATCCTCATTTAAGCTCATTGGCTTTGCGTGGAGTTTTCTACATCAGTCTTTGAGCGATCGGCATGAGTTTCTCTTCCACGTTGATCGGCTTCCTCTACAGAGGCTACTTATTGGCAAGAGCATTTCATCTCTGTCCTGTAAAATATACGCTATTGAAATTCATATCTGCTTCCTAAAGGGACACCAATCTGATCAGTATAAGATCAGCTCACGAGACACAGATCAATTATGACCAGCAGGTGACATTTGTTCACAACTTAGATGACTCCTTGGCAGCTTTTGCTGGTGGGTCGATGCTCGCCTCCGACCACCACGGGTAGTTGGCAGGGCCATCGTTCTCGAAAGCTGCTTTAAAGTTTGGCTTGCGCTTCTCGAAAAAGGCCGAAACGCCTTCTCTCTGGTCCCTGTCCAAACGATGAGCATGGGAGATTCAAATACGACGGCTGCTACTCACTTAGCCCCAAACATATGGTACAAGATCCCCGACTCGAGCAAATGCGCTTCTTCAGGGGACTCAGGTCCGCGCCACATTAACGCCCGATTCAGCGCAGAAGCCATTGGGCTGATGTTCTCGGCGATTTCGACAGCCAACTCCAGAGCTCGTGGAAGGACCCGGGTTCGCTCTGGTAGAGTCTCCGCAAACAACCCTTCGAAGTGCTTTGAGTTGGCCGGGTAGACACCTCCCGTTGAGACGAGGAACATTGCCCGAGAGTATCCGATCAGACGAGGGAGGAAGTACGACGAGCAAGACTCCATGGTGATTCCTCTTCGGGCAAAGACGAAGCCGTATTTACTCGATTCATGGGCGATCCTGCCTCACTTTAGTACGTACTGCTTCAGAGACCTGAGATAAATGCACTACCTTATCGCAGCCGGAAGAGTCATGGTCATGCCAACTCCAACAGCAGAACCCTGCATAGCAGCAATCGTAGGCTTCCGACATCTGTGAATCGCCAGAGCGACTCGGCCACCACTAATGGTTGGTCAACCTTTGATCCTCTCGTTTCAATAGCACAGCACCGACCTATCCCGATGATCCACCGTCCTCTCTCGTTCTCGCCCGCCGCCAAATCCAATCTCCAAGTCCGCGCCGGCACAGAAGGTCCTCCCCGCACCGGTCAGCACAACTACCTTTACGCGTTCGTCGAGGTCGAACATGCCAAAGACGCGTTCCAGATTCTCGGCCATGACCTGTGTAAAGGCATTGTGCTTGTCCGGGCGGTTCAAAGTGACGATCACGACTGGGGTTACGGTCGGGCAGCCGGCGGGGTGGTGGGACACCTTAATGTGAATTGTTTTGAGAGTTTCATACGAAGTTGGAATGGCAATTGGGGGAGGATTGGGATACATTTTGGAGGTATATATTATGATGGAAGTAAGTGATAAGGCTGCGCGGTGAAGGTTTCCTCAAGTTACTGAATACTCGATTTTATACGCACTGAATCCCCCAGTCATATCGGTAATCGTGAGCTGACTTGATAATATAATCTCGACATGAGATTCTGATGATGTTATCCCCAAGTAAGGGATGGACGAGCTGCCTCGGTAGTCCGGCTGCGATATGCCGTCCACTAGGTTGCCCCGCAAGGAATGCGGAGAAACGGGTTTCGGCTGGACGATCCAAGATGCCGATCCTCTCTTGATGATTTATGCCTTTTTCATTAGATTCGATGACATGGCATATGGTTTCTTTAGAGAAAGGGAGAAATTATAATGACAACTCTTACTAACATCATCTAGTATGGTTGGAAAGGGCTAAAAGATCCAGCACCTGCCATCGGATTCAACATGTTAGGAGTTGTTTACCAAGGCATCACGGCTGGTCGAGCCACTGCGTAAACCAAGCGACAGCAGCGTTCTTTCCTTGAGTCATCGCCTCACGCTCCCCAGCCTTGTTGCCGTCACCGCGAGTCAAACAGCCATGTTCCACCTCGGGATAATGCTGATAATCAAACGGTACACCGAGCCTGGAAAACGTGTCGAACGTATATCGCTTGAGCTCGGCAGTATAGACCGGATCGTGTTCCGGGGCAAGAATCTGCACTGGAACTGCAATTTCGTCGATATCCTTCTTTGTCAGAAGCGACGGATGGCCAACACTGATGCAGTCAACGAGCGGAGGCTTGTGTACATTTGCGCCTAGGCGGAAAGCAGCCCATCCTCCGTAGCAAAACCCGGCAACGCCCACTTTCTTGTACTTCTCCCGTAGAGCTCTAGCACAGTTGAAGATCTCCGGCTCTCGTATCTCTCGGGAATTCCTCCCCAAAAAACCGGGGATATCGAGCTTCTCCCACTCGCCCTTTAGAATTGGCTCCAACGGCAAGACTTCGCCGCCGAAGAAATCGGGGATGTAGACGGTTGCGTTGGCCTCGCGGGCATAGTGATCTGCTAGCAAGCGCACATTTGGAAAAGTCCAGCCCAGAAGATCGTGGATGATGATGATGGCGACGTCCGGGTTGTCCCCCACTATGTAGACGTCGTTGTTGGCGAGCTTTGCAGTTCTCCCCGAGGGAGTACCCTCCCATTCGAACCCTTTCAGACAACAAGCTGAGACGGACATACTTTCTGATATCGCTTTTTTTCGGCTTGAGAATAGCATGCAACTCGAGTTGGCCCCCTGTGTGTAAGAGTATGGGTAAGCAGCCCACGTGGGGCCAATGTTAAGTTCCGCCTGCTAAGGACAAGGTACCTAAATATCAAACAATGGACAGGACGTGACATACAATCATATGACCCAGTACCTAGGCGATCTCACCTCAGTCTGTTCTGGTTGAGCATGTTTTCCAGTTCTCTGAGCATCGTATCAACCAGCCAGTGAAGTTGGCACAAGGTTATGATTGATAACATTAATACGTGACTGCAATGTCTCAGGGGCAAGGTCCTCCGAATCATTTATTAGGCGATGCTTCTGTATTTCTATAGCTACGAGCTAAATAGGGATACTGGATATTAGACAATTGTCACCGAGCAGCCGAGTCAACTGGCAAAGCTTTAGTCACTGAGAAACAGCCCCTGGCCGTCCCTGAACCAGATTGGCTGCTGGTCCCGAAATGTCATCGTCGAGGACCTGGGCCCCGTGGCTCAGGCACTCCACACAACCAATCAATCAGACATAAACAGTGGAAGTTAGGCCCTCTTGGCTTTTCAGCCTGCACCCATGAATTGCTCCATATGTGGGTTGTCCTTTACCTTGTTAGGCCCAGGGTCTCAGGGTATTTTTGTATCTAATTTCTCCTGCTCCTGTCACAAGGTGGAAACCTGTCTGACTCTGACTCCTCGTGTTCCCCAAATCAAGTCACTTTCCTTCAACCATCCCCTGCTTTCATCATGTGTGTGACGAGATGTTCCTCTTTAACAAAAACCAGAGGCGTCTCCTAGTCTATTTCGCGGTTTTCTATGTTCTTCTTCTTATCTTTTGCCATTTCAACTCCGCGCGCGACCCTGGTTCATACTTTTTCCGACCAGAGGAAGGCTATCGGCCGCATTACAGCGTCCGGAGAATTCTAGAGTCGCGGCACTTCATATCTCGGTTCAACCAGTCAATCCCCCAACCAAAACAATCGCTTCAAAATGTCACTTCAGGAGGACGCGATCCATCAATTTGTGCGGGGATCGTTACTGTAAAGCGCCCTATACAGCAAAATCTCGATACGGCCGTTGGCTCGCTACTTGATGGATTATCGCAGGAGCAGCGCGCAAATATCGTGGTTCATGTGCTCTTTGCGCTCAGCAACCCTTCCGATCATCCAGATTATCAGCAACCATGGGCGTCGAATGTCATCGACCGCATCCTCACATACAAAAACTCGGGCGCTGATGTGGACAAAATGGAACGATGGGAGAGGGAGAATTTGATAAAAGAGAAATCTCTTATCGATTATCAGCTCTCTTTACGATCCTGTTACGAGGGCACGAAGGCGCCTTGGATTTTGTTGCTAGAGGACGATGTGGTAGCACAAAGGGAGTGGTACCGTCATACCATGAGAAGTCTGGAGACAATCAAGCACTGGAGGTCTCACGGGAGGATCAAGGACTGGCTATACCTGCGTCTCTTCTACACAGAAAAATTCCTGGGTTGGAATACGGAGGAATGGCCCACTTACCTTATCTCAAGCCTTGCGGTTATCTCACTCGTGGCACTGGCAGGTGTCTGTGCGCGGCGACGGTCACGGCCTATGCAAGGGATATTGACGAACTCATTCCTTGCGGTAGTCTGTCTGCTGTGTGTTCCTTTACTTATTGGCTTATATTTCCTGGCAGGCCGTGTGACAGTGCAGCCCATGCGGCCCGGCGTCCATCTCATGAACAGCCACGGATGTTGCTCGCAAGCACTTCTTTTTTCTCGAGAGAAAGCGCCCTTGCTGATCGACCATCTGGAGAAACTGCAAAAGACAAGACCGGAGCCCGTGGACAGTGCCATTGAGATTTTGGCCGACCAAGAAGAGTTGGACCGTTGGACCATGACGCCGTCACAAATGCAACATGTTGGTGCAGCTTCGTACAAGGAAAATCGCAAGTCGTATGGGTTGGATGGGCCTTATACCGTCAAAGGCGCTCACGGCGTGTGGAGTATGAGCTTCGAAAATGCGTATCGGCCGCCATTTGATCCGGATGCTTCTTGAATGTAGCCAAAATTCCTCGAGCTTGTCATCGGAGTGGTTGGGGCAGGTTGACAGTGACACTTGTCACCGTCCTCTCCTTGTCCTCAGTATCCCTAGCGGACTCACATATACCTAACGCTCTTCAGGAGCTACTCTGCATATCTCCAGTCTCGGCCATGACCAACGCTGCTAGGCCTTAACAGTATCACTTTCACCTGTGCAGCAGTGCATCAAGGTAACCGTTCCGTGCAATGGTTGGGACTGTTCACCGGATGGCCTCGATGGACAGTTTGGTCATATTGACACGGATGCAAAGTTCATA